ATCTGCCTCTCCTCCTTGCCCCGTTTCTCTTTAAATTTGAGTAGTTAGGTCCCTTGCTACCCACCTTAGAGATATGCATTGATCGGCTTCACAGCCTTTTGGCTAAGATCAAGTGTCAAGATAAACATTGAGTTACCCTGGTTTTGGTCTGGCCCAGCCCCATTGTTGTGAGCATCTGGGCAGTGAATCAGCAAATGGTAGACCTCTCTCTCTCTCTTGTCTTTCAAATAAATAAACATTTTAGAAAATAATTAGAATCTTCAAACAAAAACATTTATATGTCATAATTCGCATGCTTTTTTAAAAAATCAGAACTTAGTTCAAAGTGTCAGAAAACCAGCAGACACTAGCTAAAGCAGAAATAAAGCACTCTCAGTGACATTACTACGAGTAAGAAATTAGCTGCTGCTATTGTAATCCACTGAGACTCACAGACTGTTTATTATTGCAGCATAACTTAATCCAAGCTGACTCACTGATTCTGAGGGTGAATTCTATGGTTTTCAGGCTCTATTTTCCTTTATCTCATTTCCCTGAAGTCCACTGAGATTAGTTAAGTGGGTTTCTTTTGCTTACCTCCAACAGTTCCTGCTGAGACTGATAAAAAAAAATTAATACTTTGTTCTTAACCCTCTATCACATAATGAGTTCTATCCTCCTCTATGCCCAAATTATATGCAGATTCACACTTTAACAAGTCCTCTAACTTGTTTAGGGAGCACAGTGAAATTTGTTGTAGTATTGCTAAGGATAATTCTTGACTGTGCATTATTTGCATTACTCAGTAACAGATGGCTATGATAATTTTCTCTAACTTTATGCAAACTGTGAACTGACCTGAAATTCCAATTAATAGTATCTTACCATGGTGTATGCAGGAAAAAAAATCCGAGCTATTTCAAAGTTACAACCTGCTTACTGGAGAATAACAGTCATGTAAGCCATCACTTTCTTTGTTAACGAATAACAAAATACCGTTGCTTAATATATAAACTTTTTCATCATTCTTATTCTTTGAACTTGATTTAACTGAGTATTATTTCTGGACCCATGAGAATGTGGCTCATTTTTTTAGGTCACTTTCAGGGCAGCTTTGGACCAGACCCCGTGCTCTGAAAGGAGCGAGCGAAGGACCCCAAGGTAGGGATGAGATTTGTAGGCAGTCATTGTTGCTGGGGGAAGACACTGACTTCTGTATTACACAAATAGCTTTCACTTGCACCAAACTGAAACTGGCAAGTTATAAACATTTGTTATTTTTTTCAAAATACTTTCACAAATACAGTTTTAACTCCTTTACATTTTTGTGGTTTGGAAATGAAGAGAGGTTATGAGATTTGCTTAAGAGTCTCCCAGTACGAGTGACAGCATCAGCATCAGCACCTTAGAACGCCAGTCATCTAGCTCTTTCCATTATGCTACAGGAGATAAATAATTCCCTCTCTGTCACATTCTCCTGAAGACATGTAAGGATGTTTGCGTTGCACACTGAGTGATCTGATTGTACTACAAGTAACTTAAAACAAACTCAAAAACCATGAATATATGAGATCTGTTATATACAGAAACACTGCTCTCTTCTGTTTGTTATGTTTACTGCTCTGTTAACTGAGTATTATTTCAGCAACATTATATGATACATTTTGCTACACAAATAGTCAATGACATGCTACCACACAAGTGAGCAGGTATTTTTTTTCCAGAATACTTTGTAAATGAAAACATGTCCACTGAAAATTTTATTTTAAAATACCGTTTCAATTGCAGATCTTCATGTTCAAAAAAACAAAGGTAAGAGAGAATGACATTTGGGACATGATTCACAATGAGTATTATTTAAGACAAGAAGCTCTTTGCTCCATGGCATAGACACAAAAGAATGATTACAAACATATTAGTGATCCAGTGACACTAGCATACCAGGAACTCAAGGGTAATATTAATTTAGGAATGTGAACTGCTTAAAGTTACAAGTAATAATGACAGTTCCAACTGCCCATTTGGGACTGTCTAGAATCATATTTTGGTTGACATTCTTAAGTTGGATAAGGGAAAAAAATCATAATTTATCAGTAGCAAGTACTGATAAATTAAAACTGCTATCAGATAACTGACTTACAAGGCCACTTCACATGTCATTTTTCATGGATTTTGAAGGCCACAAATACCTAAAAAAATTGTAATTTAGTCCACTGAGAATTAGTAAATGTCAACTAAATGTTTTAAAACTATTTAGGAATAAATTTCATCCGTTTTAGGAAAATACTTAATCATAGGGTTTTCTTTATGAGTAGAAATGACTAATATGGTAGAATATTAATGAAAACTTTCAGATCTAGTAATAACCTGTGTTGATAACTAATTGCCCGAGTTTGGGGAGAACTACTTAGTAGTTTACTCTCCTATGTTTTGAAGGGTACAGAAATTCTGGCCTGATCTTTTGTGGTGATACAGATGTCATTAACTTCTTAATTCAAACAGACTAAGTGAGAAAATAGAAAGCTAACACATAACTACCTGTTAAAGAAAGAAGGTGGGGGAGTACTGTTTGTTGTTCCTCTAACAGATGACAAGTGAAAGTTAAAATTTGTCACCCTTTTTGGCTTATTCTTTCTTGGCAGTTTAATAATCCTGATTCTGGCAGAACAAAAATCATACCTACTTAGTATTTTGGAAAACATGTGCAAAATCTGAGAATAAATGGTCTTCCAGCCAACTTACTGCACGTCTCCAGGGTTTCCACATGACTCTGTTTAGCAGACACCCAGAGTTTAAACCAGCCAGCACCAACATGTCTATTCCCAAATCGCATCACTGGTAAAACAAATGATTTGAGACTTCAGATCTCTGTGGGCCTGGCAGAGATGTAAACGATCCTTTGGGTTAGCAGAGAGGTTCTTCATAGGAAAACAAGGCTGTGGATTGACCATCCTGATTTGCGAGTAACCCTGAGTTCTTTTTCCAGCTAGAGTGACTAATTTCTTAGCTAGTCTGTAGGGCAATTCAACACAGACTAAAGTCAGCAGTTTACGAGTGAAAACACAATGTGAAGAAAAGATTGGCTGTGAAATAAAGTCCCGAAAAATTCCAAAACAAAATGTCATTTTAGAAAATTGAAACTGAACCGTGAAAAGAGCAGGGGCATGTGCCTCGTGGGACTCAAATCTGGTGCTAACTTAAATCTCCATTAGTGTTAAAATGTTCTAAATGGTTGCATGTGAGAACACAAATGACTGTAAACACAGGTCACACTCGATTGGGATAAGGAGTCGAGAAAACCTCCACTGAATGCTGAAAATGATACTATTTTACTTTCTCCTAGCTATAAATAAAACACCAATGGTCTAGCCTTAACCCCAAGGTTATTCAGTCGAAGGCTAGATTCTTGTCTTCGAGGAATGCCAGGAAGCCTGGAGCGGAGCCATCTGCACCACCTGACATCTGCACACCTTCTTCACTGCCCTGGCTCATCCTTGGGGCTGCAACTCAGTGACAAAAAGAAAACCTCACAGTCACCCTGAACCCCCGCACTGCCTGCCACACCCCTAAGTGGGTTATTCAAACAGTCAAATGTATGTGCATCCCAAGATTGGGTTCCTTTCTCCTAAGCAGTGTAGGCACAATACTGCAAAGATCTCTTTCATGGTGAAGTTTATGTTCATGTGTGTTTGTGTGTGTGAGGGGGAGGTGGGGAAAAACAGATAAATAACACTGTAACTAAAATACATAGCACACCCAGGGAGCAACAGGTGCCACTGAGAGAGAGAGCAGGGGGGTCAAGAGTATCTGAGGAGGGTGGCAACAAGTGCAGACAAGAGGGTTCTCTGCAAAGGTGACAGCTGAACCAATATCTAAGGGAGGCAAGTGAATGAGGCATTGGGATCTAGAGTATTGGGAAGAGCCTCAGGCTGAGGAAACAGCAGGTGCAAAGGTACTGGGGTGGTGTTGATGGAGAAACAGAGACCGGCACCGTGGCAGGGGTGGAAGGAGTTGGGTGAGAGGCAATGAGGTCTGGCGGACCTCAGAAGAACAGGCCATGGGGGTCCAGCAGACCACTTCGAGGAAGCCCTGGGGAGGGCTGTGAGCAGAGGGGGGGGCCTGACTTAACAAGCTGGTGCAGGCACTTTTCCTGCAAAGCTGTGGCGGAGGCTCCATCTCAACAGCCCTGAAGGATGAACTTGGTAACAGGTGTCCCGAGCTTGGCACTCACAACTGAGAGAGAAGGGCTGAATCCGGCAGAAATGAGTGTCTGGGTGGGTCAGGGCAGGCTGTCACCCTGGGAGATGCATCGGCCTGGCTTTCAGGCTGGGTGGGCTCTGGGTCCCCCCGCAGGGAGGGTCAGGACCCGAGCCTGCTCCCCGTGTTGCCACGGCGACTGCAAAGTTCCCCCCCACCCCCGCCTCTTGAGTGTGAGCCCCCTACGCCATCTCAGCCCCCTGCGACGCGTCCTCTCGGGTGGCAGGGCCAAGCCAGGCCCAGCGCGGGCTCATCAGTATTCCACCAGAGGCGTCTCCCGGCCCCTGCTGGGCCTCACCGCGCCCGCCGAAGCATCAGCGTCGCCCTCCGCGGTGCGCGGGGCTCCACCGCACTCCCGCCCGGAGGCTCGCAGCTGGCCCTGTCCTCAAACGCACCCGGCAGTCCCGGGCACCCACGCGGCTCTGCCCCGGCACTCGGGCTTTCTTCCTCGGCGGCGGCCGCCACAGGCTGCAGACCCGGCGCACAGACAGTGCGCTTCGGGAGATCCTCTCTAAGGCATCTTCGCGGAAACTCTGGCGGGGGTGGGGGGTATGGGAGGGTTACTGGGGGGAATACTCCTCTGTGCGCCGTTTAAGGTCCCCGTGCACCTCCTGCAATGCACCAGCCGGGGGAGGCAGACATCGCAGGCACCTGCACTGCGCCCCCACTGGGATGCGCTGTGCATGAATTAGGGGGACCCGTCTGGCGCAGAGCCCGAGGGTCGCAGGCGCGGGGAGTCTGGGCTGGGGTTTCTTAGGACTCACCTTGTGCAGCTTCCACATGGCCCCCAGAGCCTTGACTTCGTGGCTGGAGTGTTTGCCCTCCTCCAGGCACTGGTAGCACACGGGCATCTTGCACTGCACGCAGTACATGCTGTGGTTCTCCAGCTCGTGGTCCGTGCAGGTGGACACCTTGCGCGGGCTCAGCCGCCGGCTCACGCGGCCCTGGGCCGGGGGCACCAGGCGGTGCTTGGCGAGGGGCCCCCGGGGTGGGTGACAGCGCAGGCGGCAGGGGTCGCAGTAGAAGACGTCGCACTGTTCACACATGACGGTGGCCTCCTTGGGCGCCTTCTCGCAGAGCTGGCACTTGAGGGCCGCGGCTTTGCTCTGCTGGTAGCGGTCGATGACTCCTTCCAGGACGCGGTTCTTGGGGAAGCCGCGGAGCCCCCGGTCATCCAGGATGAGGCTGCGGTGGCACTGGGGGCAGGTGATGCAGGAGTTGCGGGGCACTGGGGCCAGGGCCGGTGACAGGTGGGTGGCCGGCGGCGGCATGGCTGGAGGAAACACACGGACGCCGTTAGGGGACTTCTGGCAAGGGGTAGTGGGGGCGCTGGCGAAACCCCCGTAGGAGCCGTAGCCGCTGTCCGCCTCGCTGTACAGGCTCATCTTGTCCAGGTCCAGGTAGTCGTAGTCGGAGACCCCGGAGCCCGAGGCCCGGCGGCTCTGGGGGGACTCCGACTCCGGGGTTTGCACCAAGATGTTGCGGGCGCACGCCTGACATATATTGTGCGAGCAAGGCAGGATGATGGGCTCCCGGTAGAAAGAGCCGCACACCGGGCATTTTAACTCTTCTTCCATTTCTTCCATGGGGACCAAGCTGAGAGCGAGGCAGCGGCGGCTGCAACGGGTACCCGAGCTGGCAAGGCGGCCCAAGGGCCTGTGGCGTCCAGCACCTTGGCCAGCGGCAGCGGCGGCGACGGCGGCAGAGCTGGCGCCTTCCCGCTTCGCCTGGGCGCCGACTCCCCGCGACGCGCTCGGTCTGTGAGCAGCAGAGCAACCGCGCCGCGCGCCTGCCTCGGGCCGCCCCCTCCCGCCCTCCAAGTCCCGCCCCGCCAGCGAGCCGCGTCCCATTGGACGGCGGGCGAGAGAACGAGGCTCTCATTGGCTACACGCTCCGCCCGTCTCCGCGCCGCCGCAGGCCACAGGGGGTTTGGTGGAGGAGCCTAAGAACGAGCGAGGGGAGTCTCGGCTCCCAGCTGCAGGGTCCCAGGTGGGGGCCGGCGTGCGGAGGCTCGGGGCCCGGGAAGGAGGAATGAAGCGCGGGTGACTCATCCCTCGCCCCGCTTCCTTCCGACCTCCGGTGCAGTCACCCGGGAGCAGGGGGCGTGAGAAACCCCTCCGCACTGCGAGGCTGGCGCTTGTCAACAGCGGCGTGCGTTGGGCCGCCAGCCCGGCCCCGCCTCGGGCGAGGGCCGCAGGGCTGGCAGCCTGGAGCCGGGCCTGGATTCCCGCGCGGCGGGCGGGCTGCTTTCCCTCAGGAAGCCGCGGCGGCCTGGGAGCGCCCTCCTTGCCCCCAGCCCCTGCCGGAGTCTGAGGCGCCCGAGTGGGAACCCTCAGCGCGTCCTCTCTGAGAGGGACGATAATAGGGGTTTCCTGTGCCGCCAGGAGACTAAAGTAGGCAAAGGACGCCAAGGCTCCGCACCTGGCCACACCTGCACCTCGCGCTTCCGGTTCGGGCTTGGCTGAACGGCCTCTCTCGAAGCCGCCATGGCGCGGTCCGGCCTGGTCGCCTCCCATGCCTGGCTGAGCTTTCCCAAGGCGGAGGCCGGAGTGGTTGGTCTCGGCGCCTTTGGGTCCGGTGACTAGCCCTGTGAGAGATTCTCTGGGACGGGGAGCCTAGGGGCTTCGCTCTGAACAGGGCGGCTCCATGCCACGTGCCCTGAGCCTCTGCACAGCCGCCGGTCCCGGGGCCTTGCTGATCGTCCAGGGAGGGCCGTGCTGGTGATGGTGGGTGTGGATGTGGGCTGTGGTTCGCACCTTAGTCCTAATGGATGAGGTTGAAAAGCTCAGGGGAAATGGGTTTGTGGAAAAAAACAAACAAAAAACCTGCATGGATTTCAGGATGTTTTGCATCAAAATAAATTTTACTTCTGTTTTTCCCCGAATTTTTTGAAATACTCATCTCCATCCTCTCCCCAGACATAACTGGTCCTTCCTCTTGGAGGCAGAACTGTTGATGGGATGATGGCTCAAAATAAATAAATGAATGTGAAAAAAAGAAAAGGAAAATCTTTGAGTGAATGGACATTCTGAGATAGTAACTTAGAGGGAATGGTACATGGCTGACTTTTGTTGAGTGATTCATGAAGTGAATGACAAAGACACTTGTCAAGTTTTACAAAAGCTCCCAGTTTCCTATATTCCAGAAAATAACCTGATTATATGCAGCTACATTTATGATTTAAAACCACTTTACTGGCCACAAAAAAGTGGACTGTGTATAGTCCTTTCCTAGGAGAAATAATCCAATAAACTAGGTGGCCTTTCCAGTACCTTTTCCAACTGCAGTGTGAGACCATTTTGTAGAGGAAAAAGTCTATACCATCCTTTAAAGCCATTTAAATCATAAGTGCTGTGTGATTTATTTTAACCTGGCTTCTAACAAGTGGAGACCAGAACATCCACAGGTGGAATATTCTGTTTGCAGGTGTACAATTTCTCTGGGTGTGTTTGAATGTTATCCCTTCCTGCAGGATGCATCTAATTTATGGGTCTCAAAAGAATTGCTTGTGTCAATTAGCTAATTATTGGGAAACTGTTAGAAGTGCCAGTACCTCTCATCAGTTTCAAGCCTTTGTGTGCATTTGGCCACAAGTCACAGTAACCTTGGACCAGCAAGATGAGCAGCTGTTATTCTTTTTATGAGTTTGAACTTTGTATATCACAGTGTGGGAAGACATCTGCTTATTAGCAGGAAGCTTACATCTAGCTAAAAGTAAAGGGAATGTCTTATAGTTGATGTAGAGCTGGCCTCACACAGTGCCTCCCTACAGTACAGCTGTAGTCAGTATACACAGATTTGATCTAGTAAATAGCATCTTAATTTGACTTCATTGTTGGAGCTATTTGGTGAGGAGTTAATAAGCCAGTTGTAGTAGAGCTCTTAAAATGACTGTCATTTGAGAGTCACCCTGTTCAGGTAGTAGTCTTACATGTTGTAGTTCAGTCCTTGTGATAACAGGAAGAGGTAGATACAATTATCTCCATTTTACAGGTGAGGAAGCTGAGGATAAGCAAAGACATTTAAGTACTCAAGGTCAAGTATTAGCGAGGCTGGAATTTGAACTCAGGTATGTAAATATGTTCATTCATTCATTCAACAAATACTGAATTCTACTCTTTCATGCTCTATATGATGAATGCCTAATATTTTTAGATAACTTTTATGATATTCTTTTTAACTTCCCGGACAGTTGATTAGTCTTCTTGAATTCATTCCTCTAACATTTTTGTGTAGGCCTTCGAAGATTTTCCCCTAATGTTGCACTATGTGGCCGCAATGTGTTTTAAAGCCCCCCCTCCCCCCAGTGAGTTGTGTTTAGAGGGGAATCAAATAGCAATGTATTCCATGGGGCAATATCTTCTGTCTTCCAGCTGGTGATCAGTCTGTGCCCTGAAGCACAAGGATGCGGACCTGAACTTAGACCATTCCGGAGTGACTGCAGATGTTCTCATTGTACCAAGTGCCTGATTGTCCTGAGAGTGACCGTTCACCCACATAGCGTTCTTCAGTGAAGAGCTGAGCAGCTTCAAAATGCACTAGTAGGTCTACTACTTTTTGAAAAAGATAAATGTTTTCCAATGAGACATTCAGCTCCTTTTCTAATTGTTTTTAACTCCAGTGCTTGATTTTTAACACAACAATGTCTTGAGACTAAAGAGTGAGCACAGAGAAGAAAAGATTCTCCCTTATTCTCCCTCCATGTTTGTTCCTAGTTATCTCTTCTTAGTTGTAGTAGGGAAAAAAATCAGTGAAAGAAGTTGATGATGGGCTGACATTTTAAGATTTTATGATACAACATACACATATACACATACATATACTTAGTGATTAAAAGTGGTGCTCAATATAGTTGGTAAAAATTGTATCATTTGAAAAGTGATGGGCGTGATATTTCTATTTTCAGAAGAAATTCTGAAGAAATTTTTTTCATGAGGCAATTCATCCCAATGATATTTCAATTTATACTTAAAATATTTTGTGCTTTCAGTAACATAAATTTATTGTTGTTAATGTTCTTTGGTATTTTACATTATGTTATTATTATAATGGACTAAGAGCATTTTACCTAGTTAGTACTACTGAGAAGATGACTTTACTCAAACCCTGCAGTATTTTTAACTATAAGTAACAGGTTACTAATACTTTGGGAAGGGTAGACAGGAGAATCCGAGGAAATGGTGGTTTAATGAATCTGATGTTCAGGTTAGTGAGCTGGAGCATAAATTTGGGAAACCTAATTTCTGAATAATAGGAACCACAGAAAGAGGAGAAGTCAAAGATGAAGGAAAAACCACAGTTGAAAAAATAATTTCTGAATCAAAGAAAGAAGGGAAATTGTAGATGGAAAAGATTTTACAGTTATAAATAACATGGATGAAAAAAGACCGAGGTATAAACAGACACAATTCTTGAACTCCAAAGAGAAAATGAAAATCTTACAAGCTCTTATTATAATTATAAATTAAAAGAGGGGAAATAATTTGGTCTGGTGATTGAGCTGCCAGTTGGGATCCTATGTTCCATAATGGAGCGGCCACACCCACCTCCCAACATCTCTGTAGCAGAGATCAAGTTCCCTGACATGTCAATTTGGGGGAATACATTAAAGTCATAGCATATCTCAAGTATTTTATAACCAGCCAAGTGATTACTTGCTTCTCAGGTTGAAGAAAGATATTCACAAAAATTCAGAGAATGTAACAACTACATACTCCAATTTAAGAAGAGTACTTGAGAAAGGATTTTAAACTGAATAAGTGACTCTTGATAGAGTTCTCAGGATATGACTAAAGTTTGAAGCCCTGAAATTCGGGAGAAAGAAGAAATGGGAAAGTAAAGATAAGAAATAAGGTTTTAATTGGAGGAGTTACTTGGTGTCTTTTTTACTTTCTTATATAATTTTAAGTGGATGCATGTATTATGAGGCTTGGGAAAGGAAATATATGTGTTAATATAATGGAAGTACAATAGAACTTTTAAGTTAACCAATATTGGAAACTATGTGAAACTCTATAACAACAAATTATAAAACCTAGAGGAAATGGATACTTTCCTCACAAAATGTAAATTAACGAACTAACTACTCAAAGTAGAAAGATTGAATAATACACCAACCTGTATAACAGAGATTTTAAAGGCAATTTCAGATTCCTTATTAAAAAGGATAGAATGATTACATAGAAGAATTCTAGTTAACTTTGTAAGAACAAGTTATTGAGGGGCTGGCACTGTGGCGTAGTGAGTAAAGCTGCCGCCTACAGAGCTGGCATCCCATATGGGCTCTGGTTTGAGTCCTGGCTGCTCTGCTTCTCATCCAGCTCTCTGATGTGGCCTGGGAAATCAGTAGAAGATGGCCCAAGACCTTGGGCCTCTGCACCCATGTGGGAGACCTGGAAGAAGCTCCTGGCTCCTGGCTTTGGATAGGCACAGCTCCAGCCATTGTGGCCAATTGGAGAGTGAATCAGCAGATGGAAGACCTCTCTCTTTGTCTCTCCTTCTCTTTCTGTGTAACTCTGACTTTCAAATAAATAGATAAATATTAAAAAAGAACAAGTTATTTAAATGTTATTGAAATAATTTAAATTAAAAATATAGACTGTTCCATAGCCCACTTTATGAGAGCTTCATAATTTTAATAACAAAATATGATTACATAGCAATAAAAACATAATAAATAAAAAGTATAGACCAAAGCTAAGTATTAGATTCAAAAGTGTTAAAAAAATTTAAGGATTGTATTAAGAGATTTATGAACTATAGCCAAATAGGGATTTTTCTTTGAATGCTA